CCAGAGTTCGGAACCCGCAACTCCTGCTGTGGCAGGGCCAGCCTCAGAAGATCCAGCCCCAGTAATTGAGCTGGAGTCTTCTGGGGGTCCTTCGCGGGAGAAGCGCCCAAGGGGTCAGATCGAGGCAGTGGACGTCTCGTCCTTGGGCGAGGAGGTGAAGGAGGAGGCCCCTCTGAAGCGGAGGAGGAAGAAGAAGAAGACCACCTCCCCCTTAGAGGTCGGAGCTCGTGGGGCCCTGCCTGCGAGCTTCGCAGATCGGGTGGACGATCCTAAAGCCAGGATGGGCGGGACGTCCGACGTGACAGCACGGTTCAGGTCGAACCGTCAAGCTCCGGGGTGATGAACCAGGTGTCCCGCATCTCGGCTGCAAGTTTGGACCGCTGCCTCAGAAGGGCGTCCAAATTTGTAAGTGACCCGGGGTCCGTTCTGCAGAGGACTATCGACTACGCCGCTGAGGTAAGATTGGTGTCTTCATTTTTGCTCAATTTACCTAACAAGTAGCTCGATCTAATTTTCTTCTTGGTGTTTTTCCTCAGGCGTTTGTTGCTTCCATTCAATCGGCTCTGGCTGTAAAGGCCGAGCTGGATGGGAGGGAAGCTCTGGCAGCGAGGGAGAAAGAGGAGTTCTCTGCTGCCTTGGAGGCTGCTTCCTCCACCATGAAGGATGAGCTGCTGAAGGCTCACTCTGAGGTGGACATTTTGAAGGCCGAGATGGAGGCCAAGGCCGAGCTGCTGAAGAAAGAAGAGGACAGACGCAAGGCCCAGCTCCGAGCTGCCCATGCTATCACCAAGGGCTTGGAGAAGGAGAAGTTCCAACTTCTCAAGGAGAAGGACGACATGTTCCAGGCGCTTGAAGCGAAGGATGAGGAGCTGAAGCATGCGACTGCCGAGCTGGAAACGGCGAAGGAGCGTCTCAGCCATGAAGCCCTATTGGAGGAATCGTTCAGGCAACATCCTAACTTCGATGGATTTGCCAAAGACTTCTCTGACGCGGGCTTCAAGTTTCTCATGAAGGGCATTGCTTCCGACATGCCTGATTTTCAGATCGATCTCGGTGGTCTGAAGAAGAGGTATGCCGAGCAGTGGGCGTCTGGGCCTAGCGGCACCCCTCACCCCCAAGCTTTGGTGGATAAGTATGTTAGAGATCTGGACTCTGACTACTCCGATCTCGAAGAGGACCAGGTCGGCACCACTCAGGAGGGCGCTCCTTAAGCGGGCTCTTAGGCGATCACCCTTCATGAGGCCTTTCTCTGTCTTTCTTCTCTTCTCCTTTGTTTGTAAGTGTCAGGGCAGAGCTGCAAGGTCTATAAGGCTTGGCTCTGCTCTCCATTCAATAAAGAAGCTCTCATTTGTTTTTACTTTGTTGCCTTCCTTTCTTTGCTTTTTCTTTAAGCTAAAGCCAATGTC